ATGGTTTCGATCTAGAAAGGAAAGACCAGCTAAATTTGCTTTATGTCAATGGCAGATTATACATGGATGTTTGCCTACTAATGACTGGCTAATAGGCCACTCAACATTAAAACAGAGAGGAGTAGCGTTACGATGGTGTCGTTCTTGCACATGACATTCCCTTCACGTAAATATCGTGAAACCATTGAACAAATCTTCACTCAGTGTCCAGGGGCCATCCTTATGTGGCATCGATGGGACTATATTTGGCGAAGATTAACTGGCCTCGGGTAGCCTTGGAATGGAGAGGCCTTTTAGTGTGCCATCGGAATCAGGTAGACCTGTCCCTTTCAACCTTTCAGTCAAATCTATTTCGTCTCCGTAGGAAAGCTATCATATGCGCCATATGGCAAAGGAGATGTGTATATGTAATGGAAGATGTACGTATGGAAGGGGTGCAATTTTTTCAGAATGTCAAGCAATTCATGGAAAAAGCAGTTTGAGCCCAATGGGCCAATCTTGAAGGCAAATTAAAATCTTTAACTCAGAAGAAAGACATCAAGAAATCTATTCCCAATTCACAATGGACTGGCTAGGAGAATCACAGGAACAGGGTATGGGACAGGTGGTATGGCCTGATGAGAATGAGTCTGTGTTGCCTCTCAAAAGAGTTACTTTTTGCAGTTCAATGATTGGTTTGATATTAAGCAGGGGAGTTCTTCAGAGATGCTGCATGTTTTTTTGAACTGTTCCCCCCCTCCGAGCTACCTACTGGTTCTCAGTAAAATTGTAATGATTAACATTTTGATGTTCTGTATAAGGACGCTGAACCCGGTTTTCAGCAGGTGTTACTCCCCACCAATAGACTGGAGTCTCAACTGGGGGATTAGGAATGGCTGCTCTTATCACCATTCCTAATGACTTCAGAAAAAAAAAGAACCCGCGGACTGATGCTCCCCAGAATGGACATGGAGCCAGGACCATAACGGGCCTGTAACAGTTTGGAAAGAATGACAATAAGCCAGCCTTCCATGTGCTTTGCATGATAGCAAACGCAGACTTAGAAAATTCACTCTGTGTCAAGGTCCCCGGTGGAACAGCGGGGCCAAACGAGGTATGCTACGAATTAAAGGCATATGGGACCAACACCAAAAGGATTGGGTGGATGGGAAGCAGTTGACGCAGATCTCGAAGTACTGTTGCAATCTGGAAAACAACCTGGAACTGAGTACCTTCCCGATACCGCTGCACTGGGTACGTATTCTGTGCAAAGGACCGCGGCTTCAAGAATGTGACTTGGTGGCAAGTACGAAAGGACGGTAATAAATCTGTTTCAAACGAACAATGACAACGTGCTTACCTGGATCTCCCCGGACATGGTGGGATGGTACAAGAACACAGGACTGTTCAGAATAAGGGTGCTGTCAATAAAAGAACACTGGGTAGCCTTCCTTCTGGGCACCCCGCTGTCAAACCTGCCTTCGGACCTGGAAGAATGGCAGTGGACCGCTTCACAAAAGAACCGAAAAAACGAAAACATCCATCCCGTCGGTCTGGGGATGAGGTCAACACATACAGAATGCTCCACCCCAGAATAAACCTCAAGGATATCATGAGGAATACATGGATGACGCAGCTGAACGTTGGGAGGGATGTGGTTCGGCGCATAGGCTGGTTTACAGCGACCAGGACCAGACTGGCCAAACTAACCTTCCTGTAGTAGCAGATAGAGCAGTAGTAGCAGATAGAGCACCGTTAGTTCCCCACCAACAACTGGTTGATTGACCGCACGAACTTGGAACAGAAGAGAACAGCTGTCCCATGGTGCAAGTCGTGTTGAGACAGCTTTCTTCCCCACAAAATTGCGGAGACTATAGAACATATATTTCTACGGTGTCTGGGTGCAGTCGTCACATGGTGCTGGTGGGACCGGATATGGCGCCAGCTAGGCACCAGCGCTTTTTGGCTATGGGAGTGGAGAGCACTCCTGTGTTGAACATGGCACTGCCCGCAGGAGAACGCCTTTGAGGAAAACATGTCTAGGATAGGAAGGAGGGCAGTCCACTGGGCCCAGTGGCGGAAACGATGTAGACAACTCCTGGAAAGGGGACAGGTGGATGGCGATGAGGTCACCGAGATGATAAAACAGCAGTTACAGACAGACGTCACAGAGCAATGGGCAAAAGTAAAGTCACAGCTGGATCTATATCACACTAAAAGAGACGTCAAACAAACAATTCAAAGATTCTCAGAAGAATGGTTGGGGGTTCACCAAGGGGGCTGGATCACCAGCGTTCACTGGGGTCCAAGAGACCAACCCGAGGACCAAGTGTTCAGAAGAGACTACAGCCTGAGCTTCAAAGGCTGGATCAAGATGAGCCTGGATGTACCGCTGCGGCCCCGTGGGAGTTCCCAGACCTCTTCCCTTCCCACCAGCAGTCGATTGTGGATCTGCAGTGGTACAGCAGCGGCAGCAGCTGAGAGGAACCAAAAGAGTCAGAGCGCAGCCAGTGATACCTGTGTCTAATCGGTGCCCATGGAGGGCTGAAGAGGCCACACAGTTGTCATGAGAAAGTCGTGATCCGTTTATGAGGGGGTGAGCAGAAGCCGAAACCGGGTAATCGCACGGGGGAAGGAGTTAGAATATATAATGGGATGCTGGACCCGGTTTCCAGCAGGTGCCACTCCCCACCAATAGACTGGAGCGTCTAGGGCGGGACTGCTAGAGGGGGATGCTCTTATCACTCCGGCTAGCAGACCCTGCCTAGATTTCCGGAAAAAAAAAAAAAGAGAAAAAGGGTTCCCGGGAGGGAGGTATATTTGCCTTTTCTTTTGTTATTTGGACCATTTCTCGATTTGTGTGTCATCCCTTTCGCAGGGGCCATGCTAATCTTCTCTGTATCGTTCCAATTTTAACGAATGTCCCGAAGGACGAGGTATATTTGTCTTATATAGTGATGTATGGCATGAATTGTATGTGACTTCATTTTCTGCAGAGAGTCGCCGAGCTTGGCGGGAGAAGGCCGGCAATGCAATCAAGGTCTTCCCCCGTGCAATCAAGATAGACGATCTTCTCCTCCTCCCATGTAGCCAGCTGTCCCTGATGACTGGGGGTGCATGCAATTGGTAAACAATACATCCAATAATGTCAGGGATGACATCCACGTATCGATGTGTCTTGACTGCTGAGTTTTTCTGCCGAGCGACCATCTGTGGAGAGAAGTATATTGTTCATCACGGTTAAGGACCTTTCAGGTCCATTGGACTAAATTTAGCAAATGTGCTGTGGTTTACCTGGAATGTTCATTGTAGGAAATGTACTGAGGACAACAAAGGGTCACTTGTCAACGAGTCTAGCCTTTCTTCCCAGCGACTGCTCTTAATTGTTGATTGTGCGTTTGTTTTCCTGTGGTTTAAGACAGTACATGTTTGTGTGTGTGTGCGTATGTGTATGCTGAGAGAGAGAGAGAGAGAGAGAGAGAGAGAGAGAGAGAGAGAGAGAGAGAGAGAGAGAGAGAGAGAGAGAGAGAGAGAGAGAGAGAGAGNTGTCATTTGTGATTGGGTTCGGTTAGGCTAAGTTGAGTGAAGAAGAGGAAGGGAGAAGGTAAGGGTAGCCAATGAGCAAAGGGAGATGATGGAGACACGTTCAAGACGGAAGGGAAAACTTCGAGGATGGCTGCCAGGCATTTTACAGAGCACCTATGTGCAAGCATTACTGATGCTGCAGGTGTTTGTGGTGGCATATATTGCATGGATAGGTTGGTGGCAATCAATTCCTTCCATTCCTCGAGACAAGGGTAAGCAAGGCCTTTTTCGTTGGGGAGCAACAGTAGGGCGAGTTGGGGAATCTGGTGCAAAACAAGGGTCTGACTCATTGGGATTTAATGGGGTTGTGATGAATGAAGATAGTCAGGGCGACGGATGGACAAGGCCTAAGGAGCGAGTAGTGGTCGAGCTGGAGGGGGTTGTGAGGAAGGAAATCAACAGGAAACAGAAGGGCAACAAGAGTCTCAGATCTTTGTGGGACAAGCTTTCTTTTACAGTGGGTTCACCTGGCGACTTCAATCCTCAAAGTGGACGGACCTATCTTGGCGACTGCTGGATGAACTTCTCGCACAGTGCATAGAATGCAGCATGCCCGATCTGGTCCATGACAAGCACGGGACGGCAGAGACATGTGATGATCTTCGAATGGACAGAATCTGGTGCATGAGGTATTGTCCATGTCGTGCCAAGTGCATCGAACGGCACGCTTGGAACATGCAGAAGCTGAAAACCAACAACGGCAAAATCGATTCCTGGGTGGTACACAAGCAGCATGAACCTTACCTTGCTGTCTTCCGCAATGCGTCTGTGTCGTACAACAGCGAGGTCTACAACAATGAGGTGGTTTTCGATTCACGCGGGCGATGCCCGCGTGCGGGATCATTCCCACGTGCGTGGCCGGATATTGCTCGCGATCGTCATTACAAGAAGATCTTTGTCACAGATTATACATGGAGGGGTCCATATCACGACCTGGCAGACATGACCACGCGTCTAACTCCCTACATTGATGCGCTGCTTGAAGACCCCACTATCATGATACATACGACTGCCGACCTCACGGGCACAGAATACGAAAACAACCCCTACGACATCCACCCACCGGGCGTTAGGTTGAAGACTATTATGGACATGTTTGGCATTAATCACTTACGTTTGATCACTGGGGACGTTCACGGAGACCTCATCATAGTGCCGGAAATACACTGCCTTCCTAACGAATGGCTCTTTGAAGTGTATGCATCGAGGTTATCCCGGATGATACACGGTTACCTTGTGGAAAACGGCTACAGTGCCGACTTGCCGTTTGGAGAAGGGACGATCCTTGTTATCAAGCGAAGTGGCACTCGGAGAATCAACAATCACAACGAACTGATCGCAGCCATTACAAAAGAGTTCAGAGGAAAACGCCTTGAAGTGTACGATGATGTTTACAAACTCCCTCCAAATAAGATTTGGGGACTCTTCTACTCTGCGGATGTTGTCGTGGCACCACATGGCGCAGGGTTGACCAATATGCTCGCTGTCAGAAGGGGTACAGTGGTGTATGAGTTCCTGCAGCCCCACCAGTCTGTGTGGGACCCTGCAGATATGAACTTATGCTACAGGGATCTTGCGATTGCGGTGTCGGCTGATTATTATGCCGACTTCCCGAAGGTCTTCCACCAACTGTCGAAGCGCTTTGATGTTAAGAAGATGGAGTGGGAGGAGCATCCAACGGCGATGACCGTAGATGTGCTGACAACCATCAAACGGCTGAAGACAATCATGAAGGACAGAGGAATCTTGTGATAAGACAGTCTCCGGCGATTTGAAGGCGAGTCCCGGTGGCGGGTTGATGGTGTCATGTAGCCTCAGGCTGAGTTTTGACCAACAAGTCTTGCATATCATGAAGCAAAGTTAAGAATCACTCAATGCTGTATCATGAAGCAAACTTAAGAATCATTCAATCCTGTTTTGCAGTAGACTAAGTTCTGACGTACACGAAGAGGATATGGACATGAAGGGAAACACGGGGGAAGACTGAGGGTATAGCACTCCGCAGGTCATAGAGAGTGTACATGTGTTTTTTTCTTAATAAATGACAGTAGCCTGTCATTGCCCGCCTGACTGAACAGACCAGTTTGTGTAGAGATGTCTAAGTTTGACTACGACTGACTGAACAGACCAGTTTGTGTATAGGTGTGTAAGTTTTGATTTCTATCATTGTGTGCCTGACTGCCATAGCACTTGGCACGTCATAGAGAGTGCACCTGTGTTTTCTCAATAAATGACAGTAGCCTGTCATTGCCTGCCTGACTGAACAGGCCAGTTTGTGCAGAGATGTCTATGTTTGACTATGACTGAACAGACCAGTTTGTCTAGAGATGTCTAAGTTTTCATTATTGTCCTTGTCTGACTGACTGCTTTTATAGCACTGGCCAGGTCATAGAGAGTGTACCTGTGTTTTCTTAGGTACTGACAGTAGCCTGTCATTGCCTGCCAGACTGAACAGACCAGTTTGTGCAGAGATGTCTAAGTTTGACTATAATGACTGAACAGACCAGTTTGTCTAGAGCTGTCAAAGTTTTCATTACTGCCATTGTCTGACTGACTGCTTTTATAGCACTGGGCAGGTCATAGAGATGTGCCTGTGTTTTCTTAGGTACTGACAGTAGTCTGTCATTGCCTGCCTGACTGAACAGACCAGTTTGTGCAGAGATGTCTAAGTTTGACTACTGTCCTTCTCTGCCTGACTGAACCGACCGGTTTGTGTAGAGATGTCTAAGTTCGACTGCTGTCATTTCCTGAATGACTGAACAGACCGGCTTGTCCAGAGATGTCTAGTTTGACCCGCTTATCATTGTCCGACTGACTGAACAGACCAGTTTGTGCAGTGATGTCTAAATTCGCTCGAATCACACCATCACTTTCCTCGATGTATTTGGACCACAGCAATGGGTAGATGCTGTCCAAAAAGCACCAGTGTGACTATGCCCTGATGAGACAGGGTTTGCAGCTTCGCAGGGAACAAAAGGACCATGGGGGTTTTCAAAAACTTTGGAGTTCGACTTCTGCAGGAGGTTGTGGGATGGGGCAACATTTTTTACTCTGTTGCTGAAATTGTCCATTTCATCGGGCCCAGTAGATGGGGCACCCTTCATTCCATTCGCCGGGCACGGTTGTCAGTTCTGTCGCTCATTCCAGTGACGCGTCTTGGTGCTGGTTTCACTCCAATCACGATGCTGACCTCCTAGACACGCATGTCATGTTCCTATAATTGGCACAAGACTCCCGCAAGTAACATCGGCTCAGTCCCAGTGTTGCGTCTTTGTGCGGGTTTCATTGCAGTCATGTGGCTGACCTCCTAGACATCCGTGCTGTGTTTCTTAGAACTGGCGCAAATGAGTACCCGAGCCGTTTTTTTTTCCAACGGATTCCGGCCGAACTTCCTTCATTAGCGAGTGTTTGGTAATTATAAATGTTTTTTATCTGATGATGTGATCTTATAGCTCTCTTACTTGGCTGCCCTTGCTATGCAGAATAAATCTACAAGCACTATGTCAATCTTCATCAATGCGAGGAAAGACTAACGTCTTCACCCATCGGCGAATAGAAAGCCCGGACCTTATAGCTGCATTTGGGGCAACTTCCAGTTCTGGATGCAGTGATAACGACCGGGTGTTCTATTCAGGTAAAGACCGTAGGCAGGAACAATGCGGATGATGATTCACCATGAATACAGGACGTCAGACCGGTGACAATCTGTGTCTTTAAGTTAAAATCTTATGGTTTAGCAAAAATTCGACCAATTTTGTCGAACTTCATCCTCACTGGCGCGCTTAATTTGAGGCAAGCACACTTGATCGAAAACTTCATCGACAAACAAAAAAACTGAGCAGACATGCTTTACTACTCGATACAACAGACCGACTCTCATGTCCAACAAAAGGGCCACCCATCTGCCCTGATCACACAGCATCCTCAGCCCTAACCCCTAAACCCTAGACCCTAGACCCTAAACCCTAAACCCTAAACCCTAAACCCTAGACCTTAAACCCAAAACCCTGAAACCAAAACCCTAGACCCTAAACCGCAAACCCTAAAAGGTATGTTGGCAGAACTGGGTGGTTATGGCTGCCTCCTAATCTCCCTGCTATTAGTGCTAAATATGATGCGGCTCTGTGCTCTTAGTCAGGCGAACTTACGGGATGAAAAATCGTGAACTGTGCTGCTCACTTTGATGAGGTGCCTTCCCTGACGTCACCTACCTGGTCTCTCTACCTACGAAAAATCCTGATTCCCCCTGTGTCTGAAAGGTCCAATTCTAGTCTAGCCAAACAGAGTCCATACCTACAGTTTCCAGGTTCTAGGTCTTGTAAGACCGGCCCTGCAGCTGGGCGCAACGTTTGCGATTCTGGGGAGTGCCTGTCTGGTTGCCTTTCTACCGGCAACGGCGGCAAGTCAAAAACCATACACACCACGGCCCAGGGAAGCTGACAGCATTACTTGCTTCCTGTTGGAAGGATTCACTGCCAGCACACTCGTTCCTTTTCGAGTCCAGTGTCCCACTCCTCTGCCGTGCTAACCCTGGTTAAACCATCAGTACTTCCTAAAGTCGTGCCAGTTAACAAGCCACGATTTTAGGAAATGTATGGGCCACTACAGGAGCGCCCAAATTCATCCGACTAGGAACGGTTCTACTCCATTTTTGTCCACGGCCCATAGCCTGGGCAAGTACTGGTGGCTTAAATAAGCATGCCAGAAAATCAGACCGAAATTATCCCTCTCAGTCTGCCTCTGCCGGACGGCCTGATAAAACCCTAAACCCCAGGATCGCCTTGGCCTGTGTGGTGATGCCTTTCTGCCGAACCGATCCATCCATCTATCGTGCTAACCCCTAACCCCTTGTAAATTATTGTGGACTAAACAACCCCAGTTGTTCTCCCCAGGTCGCTGCTGCCGACCCATCTGCTATTCTCCAAACCAGGGGGTCTGTGTCACCTTGGTAAACATTGATGTCTTTCCGTTCTCACTGTCGATGTTGCTCTGTTTACTCGTCTGTCATCCTCTCCTTTCTTCAGGAGGTTGGAAGGCTTTTATGCTGAGTAGAGGCTGACGGTGCAGGAGGTCAGCATGCTTTGGATTGAACTCTTCCCCTGTTCACTTACTTTCTGTGTATTTGTTGAAAGCATTCTGTGCCATTTGAATTTTAGCCGTTTGGGGCTTATTTCCCCAATTTTGCCTGAGCCCAATACTCCCTCGGTAAACTTTTTTCAAGTTTTTTGTGATTTCCTGTTTCTTATGTGGATTTTTTTTTTTTTTTTTTTTTTTTTTTTTTTTTTTTTTTTTTTTTTTTTTTTTTTTTTTTTTTTTTTTTTTTTTTTTTTTAAAATTTAAGGTGACCCCTTGGAGATATCATCATTAAGCTGACTAGCCCCAGGTAGTTCAGCATTATCTTTTTTTTTTCATCTGATTGCATTTGGATCCGAACTTGGCTCAGTATTTCAACAGTTCACTGGTGTACCAACTGAGCTAGGCTCATTGGTGTTTCCTTTTTTTTTGTTTTTTCGATTTGGACTGCGGACGTTTCCGGAGATGTGGACGCAGGGTTCTGACGAGGAAGAAGAAGGAGACGAAATCCCCCTGAGGAAGACCACGTGGTGGCGTTCGAAACCGGTCGGGGTAGCCATTAGCCACCGGCTCATGCAATCTGTACATGTATATATTGTGCAATAACTCAACTCAAATCATGCATTAGTCATGGGCTGTGGGTCATCATTTTGGTCAAAGGACCGAAATAGGAGTCAACGGCCACGCCCAAGTCATGTAAACTGCCTGAACGCAGGCCTGCTACCGTGGGGTGCCCGAAGCAAGGCCTAAAACTGGCGTTCAGAGGCCCAACGTGCGACAGTTGACCATGGAAAGTCAAAGGTCGACAGCAGCTTGGAAATTCAGGCCCACGAGTCAAAGTTAACATGGACCCAGTCCAGGCCGCCGATCAGACACATACACTTGGCTGTTTGCAGGTATCTGTAGGGAATCAAGTCCGAGTGGGAATCTGCAACTGTACGGGATCCAGGCCATTGGCTGCGAGACAATCTGGGCCATCGTATCTGAGAGACCAGAGGCTAATCAACCGGAGTCAAGACTATTAACTTCACCCAGCCCCTGCTGACCGACATTCAGTCTTGCACATACTGCTTGACGCTGGCTGGACACTGGCTTAACGCTGGCTGGACGCTAGCCTGGTGCGACGATGCAGGGCTGCTGATTCTGTGGGTTGGCTCCATTCTCTGTCTTTGGCGCCATCTGGACACTTGATTATTCTGATGTGGCTCTCTTCACACTGATTATGACATTGAAGGGGTACTATTGAGGAGGATAAGGATCAGGGCTTACCTGTTTGCGTTATAGTCAACATTGCGCACTGTTGTCCGTCTTCATAAGGTGTCTGCGCAGACAAGTGCCATGATGAGATGAGCTCATCGTCAGAGTGCATCAGAGGGGATTGTCTGCTGATGTGGCGAGAGGGAGATGCCCGAAGAAGGACTGTGTTTGAGATGGATAATTTTCTCTTCCACCCTCTTAAGTCTTATCTCCCTCCCACCTCCTTCTCTGATGACCAGACATTGGGCTACCTAACTACATATACGATTTTGGAGACATTGAAACTACTCTATGACATTCATTGTTCCGACATTGACGATCTTCTCTTTAGATTGGGTTCGTTCCAATTTGGTATCGGAGCAATATCCTCCACTCCACCGTGATCTGCTGGTGCGCGTGGTATTGCGAGGCGGTATCACTCGATCGCGTGCTCCACGCGCCTTGATATATATGTGTCTTTGACGCACGCGCACGTATCTGATGGTGATGATGATAACGATGATGACGTGGACTCAACGACAGCTGGCGAGTGCTTGCTGATGAGGCGCTGGGCAACCACAGAGAGAGAGAGAGAGAGAGAGAGAGAGAGAGAGAGAGAGAGAGAGAGAGAGAGAGAGAGAGAGAGATGCTGACGTGGCTTCGTGGAATTAATGCGCACTTGCTGACGTGGCATGGCGCGTTGGTGCTGACGTGGCACCTGACAAGGAAGTAGCGGGTCACATTGTC